ATACTATTGGGTTGGAATGTAAAGTAGTATAGCCATTACGAAAATAGTATGGATGTTCCTCAAAAAATTACAAAAAGAACTACCATATGATCCAACAATCCCACTGCTGGATATATTAGAAGGAAATGAAACCAGTATGTCAAAGAGATACCTGCACTCCATGTTTACTGAAGGACTCATAACAGCCATGACATGGAATCAACCTAAGTGTCCATAAACGGATGAATGGATAATGAAAATGTGGTATACATACACAATGAATACTATTCAGCCATAAAAAGGAATGAAATCCTGTCATGTGTGGCAACATAGATGAACCCGAAGGATATTATGTCAAGTGAAATAAGCCAGGCACAGAAAACTACTGAACTGGTTGACTTGGCCTTGATTTTTTTCCAATGAGCAACCTTGGTTGTATGTGGGATCTAAAAAAGCTGATCTTATAGAAGTAGAGAGTGATAACGATTACTAAAGGCTAGGAAGACTGGGAGGCGGGACATAGGGAGAGATGGGTCACTGGGTACAAAGTTACAGTTAGGAGGAATAAGTTCTGATGTTCTATTGTGCAGTAGGGTGACTATGGTAAACAATACTGCATTTTATTAGGTTGGTACAAGAGTAATTGCAGTTTTTGCCATTACTTTTAATAGAAAAAACTGCAATGCAATTACTTTTGTACCAACTGAGTATATTTCAAAATAACTAGAAGAGAAGATTTTGGACGTTCTCATCATAAAGAAATGATAAACGTATGAGGTGATGGATGTGCTGGATTTTTTGATTTGATCATTACACAATATATACATGTATTGAAACATCACAATATACCTCAAAATATGTATAATTATGATGTGTCATTAATACAAATAACATATTTTTTAAGCACCCAAAAAATTTTATCAAGTCCCTCAAAGCATGTACTCAAGTATTTTCCAAATCTTGTCACGAAAAAAGAAGCTTCACAAAATCAACACCTCTCCCCACCAGTAACTCAAAAAGCAATAAAACAAAAACCTTTAACATTTTTGTATTGTCCTTAGAAACTCACCTGTCTTTAAAAAAAGAAAAGAAAAAAAAAAGCAAAAGCTAAATAGGTGAACAGTACATCCTAGAAATAGGCTAATTCCAGTTCCAGTTCTGAAAATTCACTAGTTGAGCATGATTTGGTGAAATTTCCCTTTCTTTCTTTACACACACACACACACACACACACACACACACACACACAGAGGCACAGGGAAAGTACCAGCTGTAACTGTTTGTAGGAGTCATAGAAAAACAGAGAGAAGTGACCTTAGTAATGTTTTATTTCAGAGACTGAAAATTTAATCCTGCCGCTGTACCCCTGGTGTGCCTCTGTTTATCAGGGTCCCATAATCATCGTGTTACCATATGACTGAAAAATAGAAACTCAACCAACATTTTTAAAGGTGACAAGATTTCTGTTGCATTGAGCAATCCCAGAAGATACTATCTTCATTTTAATATAAAATGTATCAGATCTACATCCCTGAATAGAAAAAGACACCAACATATAAAAGATATACCAGCATAAGAGGCCTTCTTTTCAGTCGAATTTGAAATAAAAGATTTGAAGATCCAAAGCTATATTAATACAAATATCTGCCTGTTGCAAGTATACTTTTTGATTAAATTGGCATACATCAAGTACAATTAGAAAGGCTATTTATAACGAAGAAGTACATAATTCTGCATCTTAATGTAGATGACAATTACAGCTGATGGTTGCTAATTATCATTACTTCTTTTGCTTTGGGTGTTAGTTATTTCCTGAATGATCTTTATTGTTGGCAACGGACACACCTCATTCTGGAAGGCACAAAATGGTTACTTATTAGTTATATCTAGTGCTCATAACACATTCATTTGAGAAGGAAATGGTAATTTGCCCAGCTCTGGCTTCTCACTGGAGACTAGAGGATCAAGTAGATTTGGTAAACTCTGACTCACTCTTGTGGCAGGAACAGTATTTTCTTAACTTTCTCTTAAAGAAAAGGCTCACCTATCCTGAGGTGTTCAGAATGATAGAGAGAAAGCCCCTCCATTCCTCTTTCCAGATGCAGTGGTCCATGGGGCATTCATTGCTTGTTCCATACAAGCAGAAATGAATGGTACATTTAATTCAGCTTCACCACCCTCTTGTACCAAGATGACCACTGTGCTTATTCTCTTAGGCAGCTTAGGGGTGTGTGATATTAGTGTGGAAAAACAGAAGTGAAATGGAGAGAAAAAACACTGCAGCTTTCAGCACAGAAAACTATAATGCCCTCTTTGCTTATGCTGTAAATTATATATTTGTTTTATTAGCATGAGATAGATGAATATTTCTACATACAAAGGTGCCCAGCTAAAATCAGGATAAGTGATATTAATGTCTTATGGTCAGTATTATTGAACCTTGAAAGCAATAAACTTTATGAGTCAATAAATATTACATTTGCAACATAGTTAACATTCCTTTACTGTCTCTAGCGCTTATTACACATTGTAACTGCAAGTCTACAATACATTATTCATATTTGGGGTGTCACCAAGTGATGGATTGCTGTAGGAGGGGCTGTCCTTTAAATAAATCAACAAATAAAAATGCAAATGTTAACATTTTCAGCCACAACTTTTTCTATTTTGAATGGGGAATAAAAATTTCACATTATATTGACAGCCAGCAGTGAAAACAATTAACAACCAGCACTGTGAATGAGAAAGATGACTTTGTTACACCTGTTTTTCACCTGCACATAGAATGAAATGGAACTCTTCTAGGTATTTTCAGAGAACAAAGGAAAACCTGTCTCCCACTGGCATCTGTCTCACCCTCATCCTCATTTACAGGTCTTGAAAATTAAATTTAAGGTGGACAGGGGAAGAGATTTTACTCCTATTCTCTTTGGTACTTTCAAAGGTTTGTTGAGATAAAGAAACCTTTTCTCTTACATTAAGAGTTTGCATGTAACTGATACGTAGTCTATTTAAAAAATGCATTTTCTACACTTTGAAATAAAAACAATTCAAATAATCCTGATTCTGAAATCTGGAAAGCCAACACTATAACCTTCCTAGTAAGTTATTTTCACAGTACTGATCTTTTTTTTAACTCTGCACTTCGTATAAGAGACCTATATCATGCCATCAAGCATTTCTAAAGATAAAATCTAGTGTGCTACCCATTGTTTTATTAAGCCAAATGCTCATTACTTAGGAAGCTTCTGAGAATCTATATTTAGCTGATCTGCAATATTAAGAAAAAATAGATAATCATTTTTTAAAGGACTGCAAATATGGCTCTTCACAGCAGTTTTAAACTGGGCTTGTAAAACTCCACAATGTTGATATGATCCATTCAAAAAATATGTGCTGAAGATGTTTTATAAAACCCTTACCGGGAAAACATTTTATTCCACTATATATTTTTTTGCTTCTTTCTAAACTGAAATGCAACCATCAAAAACATGTTAAAGTGGTGTTAAAGATCTCATTTTAATCTTTAACAATAGGAAAATTCACTAAGATTGAAAATCCAGATTATCTCCCTTCTTTACCTCTAACTCCTCCAGATGAATCCCTCAAGGTGAGCTAGGATGGAAACCCTCTGAGCATAAGCTTTTAGACACAAGGTCAAGTGATCCAAAAAGGAAGCCCCATCGACATTTCAGAATCACAACTTACTGTGGGTCTTAGGCAGAATGCCAACAATAGTAGCATTAAAAATAAAAGAAAGCAGCAACAGTGAAAGGTTGTGGCAGACTAGTTATATTCTCTTTCAGATTGTGGGTGGCCTCCAAAATAGAGAGGTTGTCATTGTCAACTATTAGAATATTTAAGATTATGAGGTTTGGAGTCTGAAATGCTGGCTTCGCCTGTTGTCAGCTATGTGACCTTAGAGAGTTCTTCAATGTCTCTGAGCCTTACTTTCCTAATTTTTAAAATGGATAATAGTACCACCTCATAAGGTTGTGACGATTAGATAAGACACGGCTTGGCAAGGTGTTGTGGACGTGGCAGATACTTAGTAGATGGCAGCCATTGTTATTATCTTTGTGTTGGAGTCATTTCTCAAAAGTTCTTTAAGATTCTTACCTTTCCATTCCAGAATTAAAGGATGACAAAAAGAATCAAAATAGGATGCACATACTGTTTCCTAGGTTTGGCTTCTTTGGAACAGCATATCTATAGGCATTGGACTAGAATACAACTTTTTAGAGGAGGAAGAAATAATGTTTCTCTTACTTTCGAAATTACCTTAAACCAGAAGAATAAGTTTCAGAGTACAAATTTAAAATCATCAGACTTGAGACCTATAATTTGGAGATTTCTAATTTGCAAAGCCAATGGACTTTAAATTAACTACAAATTAAGTCTTAACATTTATATTCAATTTATTGGAAAAGATGCTATGAATTTGAGTGCTCAAAACCAATCATATCCCTGAGGAAACATCAGCCAAGCTGATGTTTATATATCAGCCTTAATTGCATACTGCGGGAGTTGATTTAAGAGATACAAAAAATTTAAATAATATATTTATTTCTCTGGATCCAGAAAAGGCTGATCAAATGCTTAACCTCTCAAATGTCTGTGATATAAGCAAATATTGGTATTTGTTTAACTAGTACAAAAGCCACTATAATGTTCAATATCAATGATTTCAGCTAGTTAAAATTACAGTCTAAATGTACAACGATTCTGTGACAATTGGGAAAGACCTGCTGCTAAAGAGACTTTCTGATGAAGGACAGGATTAGCTTTAGGTTTGTATGGAAACCGTTACCCATTACCATGATCAACTAAGAAAGCGTATGTATAAAGAAAAGGACTCCATGTAGTTCAAACTGGCCAAGTCTAGATGCTTCAAAAGAAGGACCTCTGTTGAGAAAGAGTCACTAAGAATTATCAAGATATTTCCATTCCTTATTAAAGAAACTTCAAAAGATGTTCTCATAGGGAGAATATTAAAAACTAAAAGCATCTCTGAAGCTTACCGGGAGGTGGTGTGCTGTAATGATGGTGAGGCTGTGGTGACAAGATCCTTTGGGCTTCCTGTTGGCATGGGAGATGTGGACGCATCTTTTCTAACTCCTGTTGCTGTCCCTAGATGAACAATAAAGAAAATAATTTGGGCATTCAATAAAAGCATATGGAAAAGTTCATTTTGAGTAATATATTAGACATTATAGGAATGTCCAAGCTTCAAAGGTAAGCCACTTGTTTCCCTGAAATGGAACAATGGCATACTGAAAATCTCACTTCAGTTTTGTAAACATGAGAGATCTATAATGTACTTTAAAAAAGAATATTTGTGCAATGACAGATTAACTAGAGATTTTGTTTTTAAGCTTGATTGTCTAGCAAACCCCTGCTGATTTTGGTATACTGTGAAAATGCCCAAGGAGGTGGGATGTTTTACATTTTGTTCCCTTTAGCTTTCATAAGAAAGATTCCAGCACTTTGTACTTCTAAACCCTCCAAATTAAATTGATCCTCTTTAAAAAACTTTCAAGATATATGTAACCCTTGAAAGTTTCTGTTAGAGAACTCAATAGTGGCTAAAACACATGTCTTAATTGGAAGATATGCTCAAGTAACTATTCATTCAAGGGCCACGGTAAAGTTCCTAAGCAACAGTTTATCCTCCCAAGAACTGGTTGACTTGGCCTCAATTCCTTTCCAATAAACAATGTTTAGTTTGTAATTACTTTTCTCTTCTGGAGTGCTAAATAAAAAGATGGTATGGACAGAAATATTGTTTTTATTTTTTTATTATTTTCTTAACAACATAAAATATTGCTGTATTTATCTTGGAAGACTGTAAGAATCCCATTCACAATTTTTCTTCTGGTTCTTTGAAAACTCTTATCCAGGATGCATGAAGTTATTTGGGAGGATCCACTCTTTGAAGAAAGGGAGAGTATTCAAATAACAAAAAGCTTTGGAGTGCTGGGAATACCAGACCCTAAAATGCCAGGAGTGCGGCATACTAACTTTGGGAATGGCAACAGGTTGTGTGCAACCAGAAATCATCAGGCATAGAGAAGGCCTGAGTCTTACAGCTGCAGAGATTAGCATCAAAATGATCACCATTATCCTTGGCTTCAAAACCTACACTCTTAACGTCAACTATTCTCTACTATGTTTGTTTCTTTGTTTATTGAGACAGGGTCTCCCTCTATTGCTAGGCTGGAGTGTAGTGGTTCAATCACAGTTCACTGCAATCTCGACCTCCTGGGCCCAAGTGACCCTCTTGCCTCAGCCTCTTGAGTATCTGGGACTACAGATGTGTGACACTATGCCGAGCTAATTTTTTTACTTTGATTTTTGTAGAGATGGGGTCCCACTAATCTATTATGTATAGACGTAAAAGATCAGCCTCTAAATGTACAGTTCAGCCTTCCTTATACATAGACATCTGTGGTACCCTCAACCCAAACAAGCACATATTAATACTGGACAGTGCCAGGATTAAATTCAGGCTTAGTTTATGGGAAGGGAAGGAAGATATAATAAGGACATGAGACACTCTCGACAATCACATAAAGAGACATAGAGGATGGGCACAGTGGCTGATGCCTGTAATCCTAGCACTTTGGGAGGCCAAGGCAGGAGGATCAAGGCCAGGAGCTGGAGATCAGCCTGGGCAACACAGCAAGATCCTATTTCTATAAAAAATAAAATTAGCCAGGTGTGGTGGCATGTGCCTGCAGTCCTAGTCCTAGCTACTCAGAAGTTGAGGCAGAAGGATCCCTTGATCCCAGGGGGCTGAGGCTGCAGTGAACTAATGGTTATGCTACTGCACTCCAGCCTGGGCAACAGAGCAAGACTCTGTCTCAAGAAGAAAACAAAACCAAAACCACAGATAACACAAGGCAGTATAAGATCATAACTACTAACACACACAATATGCTTAGTGTGAATAAGTTTTATTGAGATATCATTTGAATATCATAGGATTCACTCATTTTAACTGTAGTGTTTGATAAATAGTAACTTTATATAGCTATGAAAGCATGGCTACAAGCCAGTTTTTTTAAAAAAGTTGCAAGATATTACGATTTCTTTTTAAAATCCAGTTTTAGAATATTTCCTTGCTCCAGAAGGTTCCCTCTTGCTCATCTCTAGGTAATACCTGCCCCCTGCCTTGGTCTGGTACTAGCTCCCTCTGTAGCTCTATTGTTTTATCTTTTTTAGAAATCATGTTTAATTTTCATAAAAATTCTTTGTGATGATTTTATAACAAATTTGCAGATAAGGAAAATAAGCCATAAAGAGCCTATGTGACCTGCCCAAGGTCACTGAGCTAATAAGTGATGGAGCTAGTATCTATGTCTAAGACGACCCGAGAGCTTTAGCCATTATGTTACGCTGCTGTAATATGTACTATGAAAAGTCTGAGGAACTAAGAAGTGGGAGAGCTCACATTTGGCTATAGCATTTAGGGAACATTTGATGTAGGAGGTAGGATTCTTTGATACGAAAGAATGATGAGCATGAAATGGGAGACAGAGACTTACGTTAGCAAAAGCATTAAATAGAAAACCTCAAGTCTAAATATTTCATTTAGTCAGGAAATAGTTACTGAACATTACTATGCCCTTATACCTTGCTAATCACTTTAAATGTATTATCTCATTAATCCTTACAACAGTCTTTAAATTATATTATTGTCCTTATTTTATAGATGAGGAAGTGGAAATTGTAAAAAGGTCAAGCAGCATATCCATTATCACCCAGCTAGTAAGAGCAAAGCTGGGTTTTGAATGCAATCGAGATCTGTTTGGCTCTGTATGGCAAAATTGTAAGCATTATTTTAGATGGACTAAAAAATAAAACAATGAAACAATAGCAACAACAATGACAAAAAGAAATACCAAACTGGTCTTTGAAGAGATTAATTTTGTGGCAGAATTTAGAATACAGTGGAATAGAAAGAATAAAGGTAGGCAAAGCAGTTCACTACTAATACAATTGTCTGGGTAGAATCCTAGGTGATGCAAGAGGAAATTAAGATGGACAAATAGGAGTAGAAAGAATTGAAAGGGATTTGTGAATGATGTGAAAGGGAAGAAGAAATGCCTGGTAGTGACAGAATATAAATATCTTTTCAGTCACTATCACAGAATACCGGGGACAATTTAAAGAAGGAATTTTAACAGATGGTTCAGGGATGTTTATAATCCAAGAATGTATACGTGCAAGTACCTCATAATTGTAGGCACACCAATGTATATACGTGTTCTCATTTGTTTTTCTAAAGAAAGAAACCATATCTTTCACCTAATTTTGCAAGGGCATGAGACCCCAAAAAGGATACAAATGCTGTAAAGCAAAGACCAAGTTTAACTGTTCTTTTTTCTTAATTCTCTCTATTCCTTATTGCATTTCCAGAAAGCTATATATCAGCTTTTAATTGTATTTGTTTCCTTTATGAATTTTATTTAATATTAAGTATCCCAATAATTAATTATGTATATTCATGGAACTCTATATTCCTGTATATTTAAACAGACACACACACACACACACACACACACACACACACACACAATAACAGCAAATGCTGATAAGAATATTATTGGGCTAATCAGTTTCATATATAAATGTATATGTTTACATACATATAGTATATGTGGATGCATTTACATAAATAAACATGCACATATATTTTCACATGCACAGAATGGAACTGCCTATAATGGATTATGTCCTACTTTGATATAGCTGGGTATATTTCACAGTAATTTTTTTTCTTAGAGCTCAGTGTTTAAGAAAATTCTGTTTCTGGGCGCTTTGTTTTATTTTACATTTTTAAAAGAGCTGTGCCATATTATCTGTTCAGTTTAGTTTAAATAATAAATTATAAAGAAAATACCAGAGAGCAGACCCAAGATGGCCGACTAGGAACAGCTCAGGATTGCAGCTCCCAGTGAAAGTGCAGAGGGTGAGTGGACATTTCATTTCCAGATGGATTTTTATTGCCCACAGACCAGGAGATTCCCAGGCAGAGGAGCCCTGCGGTCGCCAGCATGGCTGTTTTTGCCAGGGCAGCTGTTTTGGCTGGCATGGCTACCTTGCCAGTGCCCTGGCATGGCAGTTCTCTGTACAAAATACACTGGACAACATAAAGAGGAATGTAAGTGAATTGATGGAGCTGAAAAACACAACACGAGAACTTCACGAAGCATGCACAAGTTTCAGCAGCCGAATTGACCAAGCAGAAGAAAGGATATCAGAGGTTGAAGATGAACTGAATGAAATAAAATGAGAAGGCAAGAATAGAGAAAAAAGGGTAAAAAGGAATGAACAAAGTCTCCAAGAAATGTGGTACTATGTGAAAAGACCTAATCTACGTTTGATAGGTGTACCTGAATGTGATGAAGAGAATGAATCCAAGCTGGAAAATACTCTTAAGGATATTATCCAGGAAAATCTCCCCAACTTAGCAAGGCAGGCCAATAAACAAGTCCAGAAAATACAGAGAACACCACAAAGATATTCCTCAAGAAGAGCAACCCCAAGGCACATAATCGTCAGATTCACCAGGGTTGAATTCACCAGGGTTGAAATGAAGGAGAAAATGCTAAGGGCAGCCAGAGAGAAAGGTCAGATTACCCACAAAGGGAAGCCCATCAGACTCACAGCAGATCTCTCAGCAGAAACCCGACAAGCTAGAAGAGAGTGGGGGGCAATATTCAACATCCTCAAAGAAAAGAACTTTCAACCCAGAATCACATATCCAGCCAAACTAAGCTTCATAAATGAAGGAAAAATAAAATCCTTTGTGAACAAGCAAGTACTCAGAGATTTCATCACCACCAGGCCTGCTTTACAAGAGCTCTTGAAAGAGGCTCTACACTTATAAAGGAACAACCAGTACCAGCCACTCCAAAAACATACCAAATGGTAAAGAGCATCAACACAATCAAGAATCTGCATCAACTAATGGGCAAAACAGCCAGCTAGCATCAAAATGGTAGTATCAAATTCACACATAACAATATTAACCCTAAATGTAAATGGACTAAATGGCCCAATCAAAAGACACAGACTGGCAAGTTGGATAAAAAGCCAAAACCCATCAGTGTGCTGTATCCAGG